TGCATTGTTATAAAGTTGTCCATTTTAAAAGGGATTTGACATAGGAAGTTTAGGAAGCCATAGTAACTGTAGCAAATAAATACAAATTTATTCACATCTTAAGGGTGACCAGATGCAGACTGTCTAGGCCAGTGATTCTCAATCAGGGCGCTGTGAGATCCTTTCAGGGATGCTGCAGGTTACCCCACAATGTTAGCACTGTAAGGTGCACAAACAAGATTCATAAGACATACCCAAAGTTTTCTAATAAGAATTCATAGTGTCAAAAACTTTGTCTTGTGGTCTTTCTAGAGTTCTTTGCAACAGAAGCATTGCATTATTATTTTTCTGAAGTCAAAAAAATTAAAGAAAACTAAGAGCTAGCATTTTCCATAATGTACCCTGAGGCTAAGAGGGTTGAAAACCACTAGTCTGTACCTGCCTGCTCTGCCAGCAAAACTGGAGACAGCAACCACTACCAAACCAAACTGCCACAGCATGTGCAGACCAATATTTTATAGCTTCATGTTGTTCTACTCAGCACCATTGTTATAAGAACATTTGGGAAGGCACCAGATGCTTAAGGACCTGGCAGCCAGCTGAAGGAACTGGAGCATCAACACATGGCTCCAGCTGGTTGCCAGACAGTCATAGAAGCTGCCTTCTTCACAGAGGGGGACAAGCTCTGCCAGCTAAAAGGTTGGTTTTTCTAACACAGCGTGTCAGCAGTGTAGCCTAAACTTTGCAGTGAAGACAAGGTCCATTTCTATATAATGCATCCTGGAGCAGGGCTGTCCAACTAGTAGCCTATGGGCTGCACGCAGCCCAAAAACACTTAACATGCTGCTGCTGGGGCCCACAGGTTGCCTCTTCCACTGCCATGTGGCAGAGAAGGCCCCAGCGGGCCACTGGAACAGTCAGGGTTGCCAATTCAAGAATTTATTTATTTATTTATTTTACTGATGATATGCTCAGGTTTTACTGAGGACCAAACATTTTTTTACTGATGTGTACACATAATGTAAATGGAACCCTTCTGCCAGACCCTGGAGAACTGCCAGGGTCAAACCATAGTACAAAGGTTGCAGATCATTGGTTTTAAAAATAATAATAATAAAAAGCAGCTTGGATTGGTAACCTTACTTGACTGCTGTAATAGTTTTACACCATGCTGTCCCCTCAGTGGTCCCCTACTCACCCCACCTTGGTGCCCCCAAATGCACCCTATACTGTGCTGTCTTCTGCGATATGGAGCCCCCAAAGCTTTACCCCTGTACTTGCCAGCCAGAACAGACCCCCACAGACAGACCACTGTCTAACACTACTGGGTGTCAGGTAAGCACAGTCAGACAGGAGGCAGCAGCATCGGGAGCAGCACCACTACCACAGAGCCCTCAGAAAAGCTGCCCTTCAGGATGCTGTACTCTCAACTCAACCACCAGGCAGCACTGCTATGCTCCAACTGCTTTAATAATGCAACTACCTTGTTTTCCAACCATGGAACTTCATTGAGATCTGTGCTTTCATGGAGCTGATTTTGCAAAGCTGTTTTTTGCTTCCTGATTTACCGATAGCACAAATTTGTTATGGAATTTACAGACAGGTGTTTTCAGCCTGGTTAGTTACAGAGTTCCTGTACATTTACAGAACAGATGACAACCCTGGGTACAACTCACATGGCAGGTGAGGTATGTGCTACCAGTGGGGGGACCACCCTTGCAATGTGTAGTCTAGGGGCAGCATGCCAATGCTGTCTACAGGTCCCAGCCACACAGAAGTCAAGTTACCCTGTTTTGGAGTTCTTCATGAAGGCTTTCAACTCAGTCTTTCATACTAGTATATCATGCAGAAGGCCTGGGTGATAAGTCATGTATAACACGCAGCAATCTAAGAACTCAGAACATCTAAAGATAAATTTATCCAGGGCACCTGCATCAAAAGGCACCTTCCCAGTTATTTGTGCTGGTCAATACATCTCAGTAATAAAAATAACTTGAATTAGTAGTAATTGGACCCAGTAAGTGTTAGCTCTGAAAAGAAAAAAAAACTCCAGTGATTTAAAAAATGGAAGTTTTATTTATTTAAGATAGATTTATTTTAAGACTTAAACCAAAAAAAATGTTAGAAAAGAAATCGGCTGTGGTACAGAGCTTGATCCACCCATGGACTAAAAACACATTGTTAAAAGATGCATACATCTTTACGGAAGCCCCTTAGTCTTGTTTCTTATTCAGTGTGGGGCTTAAACGAATCTATTCTCATCTTAAACTACAGGCAGGGTGTGGCTGTTCAAATCCAAGCACATCAAGATGAGACCCAAAGTCCAATATCACTGCAAAAAGTTAAATAAATAGACCACTTTATAGAAATAAAAGCAACTGATACCTTCCAAAAATGAAATGCTCTTTTTGAACATCAGTTCCACTCCCCTCCTTAGTCTGGATCCTTCACATTCGCATTCACATTTGACATTGCTTTGAAAACGCTCCAACTTGTTTCCACTGTAGTGTTGTAGAGAAGGTCTGAATACCACCATTGACATCTGAACTTCAAAACTTCACAAAATCATTTTGCCAATGCTTGGTGGTGGAATTAATTTTTGAATTGCTCTTCATTAGGAGCTTTAGAGATGTTAGTTAAGTCACGAACACAAGCTGTCATACTCAGGGGCCAAACTGTTATCAGTGAAGACACTGCAAGTTCATAAAGGAAGCAATAATACACCTTTAAATAGAAATCAGCAGGAAAAAGTCCTTCTATGTCAACTTATATCTGCCTTTTGCTACCTATATTAACCACTATTACAACGACTGCTCTTTAAAATAGCTTGAGGGGAAAAAAAAAATTAAGTTGTATTCAATGGGTCCCTAAGAAGGATCCCTGGAACCAGAAAGAAGTGAAAAGATCAATCCCCCCCACCCACCCCCAAAAAAACCTCCCTGTATACCCTGAAATGGAGCTGAACTATTCATTGCTTTCTTGAGGAATGAGGTTTTTACAAGATCACTGAAGGACTGTTGCAATTAGTTGGTGGTAACAGTAGCAAAAGCAACAGAACACATTAATCATGAAAAGCTACACTGCAAACAAATTATGTTTTGTTTAGAGGATATAAAAAAAAAAAGAGGGGTCAGGCACTAACTTTAAATTGAGCATACAGGGGAGACCTACAGATATACAGATACCATGAACATGTATTACATTGATGCAGACCTTCAACTGGTATCATTCACGTAACTTCATTGGAGTGGCGTTGATTTTCATTAGCTGGTATTATTAGCCTTTCAGGTCAATGCCTTACAAGTTGTTTTCACTTGTCTTCACAAGTTCACTATGCCAGCTGTCCGATTTCCCAGACACCACCACTCTCTTATGAATACGAAGCACTCTTTTCAAACTGTATGTCCCCAAATAGATTACTATAGGTCACAACAATAAACTAGCTGATGTGGCTTTTAAGTTTCAGATTTTGGAACTTGCAAACCAGTGTTTTCAGCACAAGAGCTGAAAGCAATAATTACAGATGCCACACTGCTGCTTGCTAAATGCATATGTCAGCAAGTTTGAAGCTGTTCCTACATTAGATACAGTAAACACGTGGCACAGACTTGAGTTTCAGAGCTGTTGAAACTGCTTCCCTTGACTTCTCTCCAGCTTTCTTCTCCTACCTCCTGCTGTTCTTCTTGTGACAAAGTAAAAATCACAGTGTATGCCTGTGGATTTTACCTTCAAGTGTCAGAAAAGAGTAGTAGTAGACACTGTATTTTTGTCATTCTTTTGTCATGAGCAAATTAGCCACTGTTAGATAGGCTTCCTTTTCCTGTTGTGTCTCAGTTATTGGCCAGAAAAAGAATCTTCAAAAGCTCAACTGAAAGCCACACGCAAAATATAGGATACTGTGTCTGTGAAATGTTTCACAGGATGTCAAAACAGCCATATTTATCTTCAATAAATAAAGGCTGACTACAGTTGCTTACTGTTAGCTCTGTTTGGTGGTGAAATGCTCATTAATACTTGGGTAATGGAAACATTTTAAGATATTCATTCAGAGATATTCAAAAGCTTGGCATCCTAAGAAAGCAACACACCATAGAAACAGCATTAAATCCTTCTGGCAGCTTAGATTATAAGTAGCAAAATATAATTACAAAAATATAAAATTTTCTAGAATGTACACTAGGTTAGGCACTGTAAATAAGTCTGCTTTCCCTGAAAAATAGGGCATCTTTACAAGCAATAAACAATTTGTTAGTAAATGGCCCATGGTAAAAACTGACAACTACAACCATTTCAAGGGGGTTTTAGCCACATACTTCATCTTTTAAACTCAGAAGTTGAACAGAACAAGTTAAGAAAACAGAAGAACAATTGTAGCAAGCACTGTGGCAGCCCTGTGCCAAAGCTTTCTGAAGTTTAGGCGTGCACCAATATTTTCTTGGCTGACACTGATAGCCAGTTATTCCCCAGGCATATCAGCCGATACTGATCTAATAACCAGTTTACAGGAATGCAGCTGGGGAGCGTGGAAAGAAACACCCTACAGGTAAGTCTGTGGAGGGGAAGGGATGTGGCAGCTCGAGGCCCTGAAGACGAGGGGCAGGGGTTGGAGGTGCTGCCCAGCCAAGGTAGTAAACGGGACCCAGGGGCCAGGGCGGGGACCTCAGAGCTGAGGGCAGCTCATCCAGGGGATCAGTATCCCAGCACTTAAAAATGGCAGCAGAAGTCTTTCCATTTGAGCTCAGTGGGCTTTGCAGTATTTTCAAGAAATTAAGGCCTTAACTGACTCTGGATAGAAGCAGGAACATCACTGTCTTAAGAGTTAAGTTTGCTCTGGGGCAGGCTCCATGTCTAAAGATGTGGTTCTTAGCACCACACCACTGGGACTGAATTTAGCATTTATGTAGCTCAGGCAGTGTGTTTCACTGAAGAAATAAATTCATTCAAAGTTTTTTAAAAAATTACACTAATTCTACCAAGTCCAGTGCCCTAGTAGATTTGCATGCAATGCATAAGCTCTTGACTAGCCAGAAATACCATGAATCACAGGGTTACATGCATGGTTTTGAGTTCTTGAAGGGTTTTTTTAGCTCTACCATTAGCAATCAGAAGTCTCAGAAAATGGGTGAAGGGGATTTTAAAAATGACAATGCGCAGTGCATTGGGTCTGGGAGATATTAGATCCGAGGCTAAATCTGGACTACAGCATCTCTAGCCATCTCTGGGACTTAACAGCATTTTGAAATGTCCTCAGCCCAGCAGACAGCACCTTTTTAAAAGTTAAAAAGGTTTAAGCAATTCAGAAAGTCCCCCCCGCATAAATAAAAAATATTTACAAGCTTCCAAGAAGGAGAAACAGAGACTCTAACCCCTCCAAATCCTGAAAGAAAAGGTTTCCAACATATAATGCTATCAATGTACAATTACAATTTCTTCTTTTCTTGAGGAATACATGTAGATAAGCAATTTCAAAATGGCTTCTGTCATTCAGTTCCTGGTTTCAAGCACAAGTTCCTGCAACTGAAATATCTGTGTTACCTCTGATCATCTGAAATATTCCCTGCTTCTGCACAGTCAATGCTTTATTACCTATTTAGTGATTTTTCAAATTTTCTAACAAGACTATCATGACTACTAATTATCTTACCACATAACTGCATTGACCTTCTATTCAAATAGGAGACAATGAAATGCTTGATGCCTCCAGAATAGGTTGCAATATTTTGACAATACCATCTTTTCCTATTTTACCAGTCTCATCTTCATAGATCTTTATGACACCTGCTTCTAGGACTATAGCAAACAATGCAAGAGATGAAGTTATCACTCAAGTTGCAAACGTAACATTTCTAACCTCTTATAGGGATAACAGGAAGTCAAGACAGAATGGCCCCTATAGTAACAAAGTTGGTCATGAGAAGAGTTTACAACAGTTTCCATTTCTGCTTGCTAACATCTAAGTCTGTGTCTCATTCTTGGAATCTTGCCTCTTCAGTAATAAAAAAAGATGTAATTTTAGTGCTTGAGTCTTCCGCTGGAAAATAAGAAATACAGATATGGTGCTGGGTGATCTCTTTCTGCACCAACTTGAGGCAGAAAAGCAGAAGCAGGATAAGAGCCAGATGATATAGAAATAAGGCTTTTAAACCAGGAGTACTTCAAGGCCTGCACGTGTCTGTCTCTTTGACCTTTATTTCCAATTAATAGCAGTGAAATATACTTGTCTTCACAGTGGGTGCCTGCTTTCATCTTCAGAAATTATTCCCTGCCTTCACAGCTTCAATATCAGAAATCAGCGTCCTGGCCAGGAAAATCCCAAAAATCTAAAAACACAGAAAGCAGCTTTCAGCTTGGGAAAGTAAGCAGACTAATAGTAGTAGTAATTCATTCACAGCTTTCACCAAAACAGTACAATAAAAATAATATATTAATAAAATAACAGTATTTCGATTAATAGATATGACCAGTTTATGAGAGACGGCTGACAAGGAAAAAGCCAGAGTCTGTCACCCATTCTGTCAACATTTATAGTTATAAGTAACATTACTGAAATATTTTGTCTCTCTGATTTCACCAGTACTGTGCATAAGGGCAATAAGTTGATAAAGTGTGTAATAAATCAGAGTTGCTGTCCTATGCGAAAGTGTCAGAGACAGGACAGGACACACAGAAGACATGCACTGATATCTCGATCATGTATCAGATTGGCGCTGATAACATAAAAATTAACAGTATTGGTTATTGGCTTTTTTGGGCTGAAAATGTCACCGATAAATGAAGCATGCATTTGCACAGCCACAACATGCATGTGGCCAGGAATGCAGCCCAGCAGCTTGGAGAGCAGCATCCTGCTGGTAAGTCTGAGGGAGGAACAGGCATGGGGGAGGGAAGGGGCATGGCAGGGCAGATCGAGGCTCCCATGGTGAGAGAGGGAGTGGGGCAGGGGCAGGTGCTGCAGAGCCAGGGAGGTGAATGCAACCCTGGGCCTGGGAGCAGG